TAGATGATGCGTATCTTTCTCAATCGCTAGCTTTTGAGATTCAGGGCGCGGCCGGCCCCAGCGCAATGTTTTTTGAGCAAACTTTGCAAAATCTAAAATCTAAGCTTATGCACTGAGGAACCCAGAGCAGGCAGCTTTTTAAAAACAGAGAATTTCCCTGGCAATAGACGACAGGCGACAGAAGATGGGCGACAGAAGAAAATTATGCTACTCGACTATCTCCTCTGAAACTTTTGCCCGTTTCTTTATATCTTGAGCTTCATGATGTTATGCTGTTCAGTAACATACTCAATGGTCGTTTCGACATGGAATGGCAAAAACACGTTTGCTGTGTAGCAGATGTTTCCACGCGGTAATCCACAGGTTTTACCCTTTTTATTCCACGTGTTAGACTAGCGAAGTCTAATCACAACTTCTGGGTCCGTTCTGCCCGGTTAGCTAATAGACTGTCTCCACTTGTGAACATCTTCGACTGCAACAATCCCAAGGAAAACTTGCTGAAGTTTTACTGGTCCTTCTTCTACAACTTTTACGACAGCAACAATTCATGTAGCTGGCGTGTCCTGTGTTTGTGCAGCAAATGTTTAGTTTCACCAAAACTTGTGTTTTAGTTCTTGTAAGGGGATCACTTCCTTCGGTTTTTACCGTAAATCCAACTATTATTATTATTAATACAGATTGCGAACGCCGCTTGCGTACTCGGAACAATAAATGATAAATAACTTTAGACGAAATTATTTTTTATTGGTAATACTTGTATATTATGTTTTCTCGTGTCGAGTTGCGTGTTCTTATTGAAGAACCGTAACCTGTATCGATTTTGATTGTAAGGACATCAACACTTGTCATCTTTTATCATTATCACTTCCATATCTAGAAAATTCCAAGGATTTTGACTGGAATACGTGATAAAGGAACAACTAACTGTAACCTCGGTTACTATGCAACTTTGACCTTCTGATTACCTAAAAAAAAGAAGACGCAGGGAGACTGCGGCAGTAACACCCTTAAATTTATTCGTGATTTTGGTAGACGCCTTACTGATGCCACCCATGAAACTCGTGCACTATCTTTCTTAAAACAGCGTATTTCAGTAGCACTACAAATTGGGAACGCGGCATCGGGAATTTTATCGACACGAAGCCTTCGGCTAATCTTTTTGAGTTTCTTTTAATTCGGTTTATTCTGTGCAGGTGTTAGTTTGCTCTATCTAGTTGGCTTGGTTCTCCAACATCGGACTCTCTTTACTTCTATTCACGTTATACTTTGCTCTTCCATATCTGGAAAAATCCTTGGATTTTGACTAGTATATTTGATGAAGGGACTCCCGTCTGTAACCTCCTCGGTTACTATGATTTTTGATTACTTATCAAGAAGATTAACGAAATGAAAACTTTTGTTTGATTGTTCATGAGAAAATTGATTTCATTTTGCAAACAAAATTCTAATACATCATCAAATCATTTAGATAATATCAAAACCATTTTCATTACTGCGCGGTTAATTGCTGAGCTTTGAGTTTCTATTCGACTTTCCAGTGACTGATTTATTTAAATCCTGTAATGTGCCAAATCGGTTGTGTTCAAGGCTTACTGTTTCAATAATTGACGTTCTACTAACTTTCTTCTGAGGCAGTCAGAGTTGCTTGGAAAAGTATTCCAGGCTAGACTAATGTCTTCACATATTTTTTGTGTAATACTCTGAAATACTGTTTTGGTTACATAAAGGAAAGAATCTTAGTTGTTTTGAAATCTTGCGTTGATTATTTCCAAAAAAGACAAAAAATCTTATTATCAAAAAAGCAATAAATGCCTTCTTTGCAATTACGAAAATTTGATTATTGAATTGTTATAAAATCGTCTTTTTTTTTAGTTATTAGAAGATGAAAAATAGCAATAGAAATGAAACAGAGCAATCCATGCCAAAATCAAGCAAGCGAGACAAAAGAAAATCATTTTATCAAAAACAAAACCAGAAAGGATCTTCATCCAAAGGGCAATTGTTCACTCAAGAGCGGAAATACAAAACTATTCAAAGTTTCCACAAAAGCTTCAAGGGTGCATATCAAACAGCGGAAAATCCAGAAGGTACACGGACTTCGAATTTATCTTTCTCTGAAAGGCGACCAGCGAAAGACGATAATTCCATATGGGGCAAAAGGCAACGACTTGAAGAGGCAAGGTTGAAGTACGAACAAGTAAAACGGGACAAGCAAGAGGCAAGAGAAAAGCAAGTAGAGGAAAGGGGACTTAAACAGCAAGCTTGGAAGACCAAAAAGAAAGAGAAAGCAAAAATCAATCGACTCATTACTCAGAAGACAAGTAAAGGACAGCCCAATATGAAGGCGCTTTCGAAAGCGCTATTGCTCAAGATACAACAGAAGTACACTGTCTCAAAATAACTTTCCGAAAAAGTAAGGAAGTCTGGACGAAGTTTTCCATGCTATTTATTTACGCTTGCGCTGATCATATTCAAAGATATTAACAGAAGGCCGCGAAGGGTTCAATTTGAAGCCCCAAAGGTGAACACTGCGAGTATAGAGGAACTCAACGGCTGTTGTAATTTCTGCAACTTGAGATTGGCAGATTCCTTTTGAAACGTTGATATCAGACAAATCAAACTTTTAGTTCATTTAAAATAGAAATCTCCTTTCATCTATCTTTAAAATCAGAGTAAAATGATAAAACAAATGGACCAGGTTAATAAATAGTCGTGTAATATAATTAAAATAAGCAATAAAACATGAAAGTTTTGGCAATTTTCATGGAAAGCAATTCCCTTAACCAGTGGGAAATGTTTGGGATTCCTTGAACTCTTTCAATTGCCTTCTGATAACTGAGAGATGGAAATGAAATGACAAAAGCTTAGATTCGATCAAAAAAATCTTGGTCCGCAAATTCCAAAATTTACTAGAAAATAAACCGATTTTTAAAAAAAATTGAATTTTTTGATGCATTTTTTGATTTTTTTTCGAGTTCTTTTATTATTAAGATTGCATAGCTGGCAAGTTTTGTAAAAATGGTTAAAAATGTACTGTGCGTCACTATTTTTATTCTGTCGAATCTATTCACTTGGATTTAGTTTTCAGTTTTTCGGCCCAATTTTTGTCGGCTTATTTGCCGGGTGTTTTTTTTAGAAAAGTCTTTGCAAATGATTATTAAATTCAATGTAGGAAAATAACACGATGATAGGCTTTTTCCAACACCTTTTTTCAGACGCTTTTTTCTACACGCTAAAATTTTTAGTTTGAAAAGAGAAAACTTTGAGGCGATTTTTTATTGGATTTCTATTTATTTTCAGTTTCCTTTCCAATGCATGGTTTGTGATTCAGTCAATCATCCAGCGCATGTGGCGTAGAGGTAACACACCTGCTTGAGACGGCAAATGCTTATGGTTCGAATCCGACTGGGACCTGATTTTTGCAAACTTGATTTTTTTGTGCTTTTTCGGACTATCGTCCGTCTGCTTTTGTTGTCGGCTGGATTCCCCTAGCCCAATTTTTTTGAAGTTACAGCGTTCTTTCAATTTGCAATAACACCGATGCCTGGGATGGCAAAACCCTGGAATTTGATTTCAGTTGGGACCTGTTTCTTTGCAAGTCGAAAATTTTCGGCTTTTTTTTAGATTTTTGTGTCTGCTTATTTTTGCTGACTTAGTTCCCACCGAAAGGAGTTTTGAAGTTTTTCTTTTTTATTTGATTTTAACAAAGTCATTCATTTTTGAATCGCAAGTGGTGCGAAGCTCAACATCACCTCAGTGTAAAAATATTTCTCGGCATGTATCTTTGGAAATCTTTAGTTTTGAAGTCTAGAAAGTCGCGAACTAATACAATATGAAATAAATTATGGTAGTTTATATCCACTCTTTTATTATGCCCAAGTTGTAGTTGTTTACCCGTACGATAAGCAAATGTATTGCAATCGGGTACTAGAAATTGTTTTCCCGTAAACATCTTTGTTCATAGAATGGTCAATTTTAGTAGGAATGGTAAATTTCAATTTCACGACTGCTGATATGCAGACTGCTCACATGCTCAATTTCTTGAAAATTTAAATAAAGCTATCATATCATCATTCAAGTAATAATCAGGGGAATTTTTTCGTGTTCGTGATTTTCGTCATTATTTCCGTCGGCTCGTTTTACATTTTAAAAATGCAATTTGTAATATCTGGTACGTTTGTTTTTTAAGCTTACTTTCCAAAGCATAACCTTTTTGTTGATTTAAACATTTTTTATTATGATTTATGATAAAGATCGGTAATTTGTGATTTCGATTAAATGGTGTTTCGGCTAATGTTGTTTTAATTTAGTCAAGTTCTATTGCCTAGTTTCGAGGGAAAATTAAAAAAAAAATTATTTTGTGTTTCGGCTCAAATTCTCCTCTTCTTTACTCGGTTCTTTTTACAATTCTTTTCTTTAATATTGAACCTCATCATCTTTCAAGTTCCTTCTCAATTAGCCTTGCGTAACGTCGTTGCCTTTGCATGCTAAGGTCTGGGGTTGGCGTCTCGGTTGCGTGTGCTGTAAGCAACTCATTCAATTGCAAGTTCATCCCATAAAATCATTTTTTTTGCTCAGCTGGTCTCTGCTCAAAGATTGTCAGATTGGTTGCAAGTGCAAGTCTTGTTCATTGTTGCTTCAGGTGGGACTTAAAACTTTATCATGATTTTTATCATGCGGGATTTTTTATCATGTTTTTTCGTATCCAATTTTTGTCTGCTCAAAGATTGTCGAATTTTATGACTCTTTATAAGATTTGATCCGTTGCTAATTTACTATTCACGTCTCTGGGATTTTTTTAGGAATGGCTTTCTATCGAGACATGTCGAGAAATTCAAAATTTTGGTAGACCTAGTTTTTTTTATTTTTCATATCTTGTTTCATTTTTTTCCGACTTAGTTTTTTATCACGCATAATGTAACTCTCTCAATATGGCAAAAACATAACTATTTAATGATTTTTTGCAGGGCTGTTAAAATATCAATAAAAAAGGAATTATTTGATAATCTACGTACGTCTTTTTTTTTCTGTCAAAATTATATCATCGTGGTGCTTTTGCAGATAAATGTAAGCGATTAAACAATTGCAGGTTCGTCAATTTCTAATATTCTTCGAAAGTGAACCAAACATTTTTTCCTTCTTTAAGTTGCTTTGGGTTTTTGTCTACTATCTAGCAATGCTATGTTGGTGTGAGTGGTGCAAAGCTCCGGATTGCCTCTGTTAAATTAACTTCCTTGATCGTGTTAGTCTTCTCATCTCGACATGCAATCCGGATGTTTCGTTTATGCGACCAGATCTTAAAAGAATCTAGAAGCATTTGTTATCGATAGCGATTATTTAGATATCAGAAGTCAAATTTACTGCTCTAGTCTTATGTTTTGGGGTCACATTATTCTAGCCGATTTTAATGAACAGCTTGATTTTAGGTTGTTTTTGATAAATTAGTTATGGGAGATCCGATCACTGGAGCTCCTGTGAGCTATGGAGTTCCTTCATCTCATAGGTCTAACAATTCGGTGCCTCCGCAACCAGTCACAGAATTCTCCAGTCAAAGCATGCGTCTTGGGAGTAAAATTGAACGTGCTGAGAAAGGCATCGCCGAAGATCCGTACAATGTGGAATGCTGGAGTGTTTTAGTGAAAGAGACGAGCAACATGTTGGAAGAAGAGTCGAGGCGAACGTATGAACGTCTTGTGCACCAGTTTCCTACTTGTGGAAAGTATTGGAAAATTTACATCGATTTCGAAGTCAAGTTGCAGAATTATGAGCTAGTGGAAAAGCTCTTCCAAAGATGTCTCACGAAAGTGCTGAATCTTGAGCTGTGGAAGTCATATCTTGCGTATGTTCGCGAAACCAAAGGAAATTTACCGAATTTCAAGGAAAACATGGCGAATGCGTATGATTTTGCACTAGAAAAAGTTGGAACTGATATTATGGCGTACACAATCTGGAACGATTATTTAGTTTTCCTCAAAGGAATCGAAGCTCAGGGCACGTATGCTGAAAACCAGAAAATAACAGCAGTGAGAAGAATTTACCAAAGAGGGTGTGCGACTCCTTTGATCAATGTAGATACGCTCTGGAAAGAGTACAATAGCTTTGAGAACAGCGTGAATCATTTACTGGCTAAGAAGATTATAGAAGAAAAGACCAGGGACTATATAGCGGCGAGGAAAGTTGCCAAAGAGTACGAAGCAGTTACCCGACACCTGATCCGAAACGTTCCAGCAGTTCCTCCGGGACACCGATCTGGCTTGGCTGCTGCCGGAATAGCGGAGGAGCGATCTCAATTGGAACATTGGAGAAAGTATTTTAAGTGGGAAAAGGATAACCCTCTAGGCAGTGAAGATTACCTGTTCATATCAAAGAGAGTCACATATTCTTACGAGCAGTGCTTGCTAGTCTTTGGGCATCATCCAGATGTGTGGTGCGAAGTATGCGCGTGGCTTCAACAGGTATCTCAAATATTGAATCAAAAGGGAGATTCAGCAAATTCTAAAGCGTTCTTAGATTCAGTGGCTAATATGCATGAGCGTGCAATCAGTCATCTCATGAAACTCAACCACCTTATGTATTTTGCATACGCAGATTATGAAGAGTCCCGAATGAAAATGGCCAAAGTTCATCAGATCTACGAGCGAGCTTTGGCCGTTGAAGATTTGGACCCTACGTTAGTTTATATTCAGTTCATGAAGTTTGCCCGACGTTCAGAGGGCATTAAAACCGCCCGAGCAATTTTCAAACGAGCACGAGAAGATAAGCGATCAGGAGCATTTATTTACGTAGCTGCTGCTTTAATTGAGTTTTACTGTAGTAAAGATCAAAATATCGCGTATAAAATATTCGAGCTTGGTCTGAGAAAACACCAAAATGAAACTGCGTATATTACAGCGTATTTGGATTTCTTGTCTCATCTTAACGATGTAAATAACACCCGAGTTCTCTTTGAGAAAGCTTTGGCCTCTAAAACTCCCGATCACTGCCTCGAAGTCTGGGAAAACTATATATCATTTGAATCTCTATGCGGTGATTTGGCAAGCATCCAAAAAGTAGAGAAGAAAAGGATGACAGCTTTTCCTGAAGTCTTCGAGGGCAGAGAAGCTAAAATGTTGATAGACAGATACAAGTTCTTAGATTTAGTTCCAGTCAGTGAAGCGCAGCTCAAAGCCATGCAGTACCAAACAGCTTTGCCTCACTTGCAGAAGAAGTTTAAAAACATAGCTCCTCTGACATCGGCTGCGGCGTTTGTGACATCGGGAGGTCTATATGGAGACGAAATCTCCTCGAGATCCCAGCTATATCCACTTCCGGACACAACTCAAATGATTCCATTCAAGCCGAATCGATCTTCAGCCGCGGAGAGCTTGATAGTTCCAGGAGGCGACTTCCCGATTCCTCCCGCCGCCGCGTCAATTCTTAGGAAGCTCCCGCCTCCGAACTGTTTCCAAGGACCTTTTGTCATTCTGGACGAATTTATGAAGCAAATGTTGGAGTTAGAATTGCCAGAGGCGTCAGGATCCGAGGTCAGAGGTCAAGTGGGGCTAAAAAGAGCCCTGATTATGGAAGAAGAGGATAGCGATGATGATGAGGGAGGAATGAGGCGACGTTCGGGAGCTTTTGGAAGTAGGTTGCCCTCAGGAGGAGCCACTAAGTACCCAAATGTGGCTCAGAATCCACCGGTGAACGATATTTATAGGCAGCGCCAGCAAATGAAAAGTTCGTCCGGTTTTCAAAACTAGAAGCAATCAAATAGACTAGTACCGTAGGTGTAACTCTTTTTGTCTTTTTCTTTGTTGCAATAAATATATTTTTAATTTGACGCTTTTTAAAATTATATTACTGTATCAGTTTGAAGTGAGTGGCTGCTTTTGTTAGAAAGTAGTTTTGCACCCCCAGAAATTTGAATTGAGTTTTTGTCTGAAAAGCTCTCCATTTCAGATACAATGCTACGAATGAGAACTATTTTTTGTTTGCAATGCAACTGCTTGAAATTTGTACCAAGTCGTTGCAACGATTTTCAATCTATCTCAACTTCAGTTAGTAGAAATTCAAGCTCTTTAGTACACAAATTGAAGTCAAAATTTTTCCCTGAAGAAACGGTGCCTGAAATAGATGCACGGAAAACATTCAGTCGCCCGGTAGAAGAAGATCCAAGAACTAAGGATTACGTTCCCCAGCGAAATATTGACGAGATCATCAAAAGCTTGCATCATGAGCATCTGCAGTTATGGGAAGGATCGGAACCCTTTTCAGACCCAGTTGCTAAGTTCAGGTTCTTAGCTTACTGTGGAAACACTCTTGGAAAACGAGTTGGATCCAGTTACATTGACCAGATCAACTGTCTGGAAGATTTGATTGAGTTCTACACAAAGCCAGACTTCAAGAGCAGTCCGCTGCAGAGAATGAGCCGATCGAACACTAAGCCGAGTAATTTAGTCGTGTTTGAAGATGCTCTGACAGACGAAGAGATGACGCGGCGTGGTCATTTGTGGGATAGATGGATAGTAGAGTAACAAACTTTAATTGAAAAACTTTATTGTTATGCTGTGACAAAACAAACTCAATTTAACAGTTGACACGCACCACTTTCATCAAGTGAGTTTAAATGAAGAGGCATCTTGGACATGGTTGCTGGAATATATTGTTAAAGAATGACAGTGAAAATTTATTGACGAAACAGTTGTCTGAATTGACAGATAATAAAATGACTATTTTATAAGAATTTTTAAATTTGCGAAGCGACTATTCATTCGAACCTTCTTTTTTTTCCAACCTAAGTCGCAAATATTGGTGCCACTTTTGGGGCACCTTTACAGCTTATTCATAGCACGGTCCTAGACATTCGAATAGTAATAAGTTAACACAGTTCATGCACTTCTAATTCATCAAATGAACCGAAATAAGTGATTTGTTTCAAACAACATAACAATATTGAAAACTTGATTTCAGAAATTTTCTAATTTAATATATCTCGCATTTTTTGAAATGCATAATTTACACTTAATGTGGTTTTATGCTTTGCGATTAGTTACATGTAAAGTTAGTGTGGATGCCTTCAGTTTGTTATAATCCAATTTATGACTTGCAAAGTTGTGTCTATTTGTATTTGGTGCTACTTTTGCTGAATCGCATTGGCAGTTTATTAGCATATGTAGCTGCTTTATTCGTGACTAGTGATAAATAGTGAGACTCAAAATCTCTTGATTGCAGTAGGTCGCAGATCGAATCCTAGACCTATCCGAGTTTTCGCTAATTTGAGGCTTGTTTCTATTTTTTCTTATTGCACTTTCTAGAGCTGCCTTTTAGTCGTGTTCTTGTAAGTTTTTGCGAAGCTCAGCTTCGCCTCTTAAGTTTTTCGTGAAGTTCGAAAAGACAATGGCCGTGATTCGGATTCCAAGAAAAATGAAAGAAGCTATCAGTTTCGAGAAAAATTGGTCTGAATTTTTCTAATGCAGTGTAACGTAGTTAGTTTTTTAACCAATATCAACTCATTCTTGCAGATCATTAAACAATTGAACCTCTCCTTGATAATAAAGAAAACAAAAATTTTTTTAGTGAAGATTTCGATTCTTTTTTTTTTTGCTAAAAATTTTCATTGCTTCAAATAGAACTCCAGTCGGAATATTCTGTGTATTTGCACAGCTTCCAGCTATCCTTGTTAGTTCATGTATTATTCGAAAATGATATGAGTTTCATGGTCAGATGGTGAACAAAAATACATTGTGCCCTCAGAGCATGGCCATTAATGGAGTTGTTTTATTAATAGCGAGGGTTTTTTGAATACAGAACATGTTGAAGTTATCGGCTTCTTGGTTCTTCGATTGAGTTAGTCTCGGCTTGTAAGTTTTGTAGACAAATGCTTTGTACATTTTGCTGCGTTACTGGGCAATGATTTCAATTTTTCGTGCGGCAGAAGATGATCCAAGAACTATGGATTACGTCCCTCAACAAAATAATGACGAGTGCGTAAAAGAACTTACAAAGGAACAAAAAAACTTTAAAGAAAATAGAGTTAAACAAGACTATGGCGCTGTAATAACACGAAAAAAGTTAAATGTAATAAAACAATTTTTTTATGTGAGTTTTTTTGTTGTGAAAATCATCCCCCACACTCCATATAAATGATAGATTTCGCTCCTAGTAACAAATCAGTTATGGCAAATAAGCTTCCTTCAACCAATTTGGAACGACTTCTACGACGGAATAAATCTTCGCTTACGCGTTAATAGATCTAATTATATCGCGTGTTAATTGTCCAAAAATGGCAGTATTTAAACCCCCATACTCTACATAAAATGATCACTGGTAAAATATCTTTTCAAATTTAAGCTCATGACAACAATAACTTTTGAATGAAATTTGAAAAAAATCGTCCAAATGGCTAGTTAAAAATTCAAATTGTGTCTGTAGAAAAAACCACCCCGAGCACAAATTCTCGGTTATTTTCGTTACGAGTGTCCGAAAAACAAGAGCGTGATGAACAGATAAATTTTCAAGTTGTAATAGCCAATATGAATTGAGCATAAGCAAGTGATAGCGCTCTGACTCAATTGGATTTAAGCTGTTTCTTTTTGTCAGAAGTTCACGGAGAATTGTATGTAGCCTTTTTTGGTTTCTATGAACTGTACAAAATTGCCGTCTGAGAGTCACATGATTACTTTTATTTACTTAACAGCAGGCAGCAGATAACAATAACCTTTTGGTCGTATTATATCCCTTTTCTATTTCGTTTTGATGGCTGAAAAGTAAGTACAAAAACTTTCAAATTTGTCTTGTTAACGCATTTTCCAGTTCCCTGCTAAAAAGTGATCTTACGAGGAATTGACAGCGGACACCGTATAAATTGTTTGTTTAGTACGCAGCTGTTTCATAAATTTGACTGCGTTACTGGATGAAATAGTTTACATTGTTTTTCGGTTGGCTCACATGATATGCTACTGATGTAATTGTTCCGATTTTTGAAGAAAACAGAATATTTATGCTCGGTGTGGTTTTTTTATTCAGTCATTTTTCGCCGCTCGAGATAATAGTTTTCAACAGAAATTACTTATACCCCATTGAAGATATCGACTTCATGAGTTCAAATTTAAAAAGTTATTTTACCTCCAATTATATTTTGTTAAGTTCTGTGGGTTTGAAATGAACCAAATTTATGCGCGCTTTGAAGAGTTTATTCATAATGCTGAGAGCGTAACGCGAATTATTCATGCGCGGCGAATGATCCCCCACAGCAAAATGGTTCCAAATTGACATGAGGCTAGCTAATTGGTCGCATTAATTTTGTACGATTCAACATTTCACACTTTGATATTGTCCAAAATTTATAGGTTTTCAATGTTTTTTCCCCAAAAACTGTTCTATATAAATAAATTAAGGGACAGTCGGAACATTCAGGGCTTCGCTCTCATTTACGAGCAGTCTTGTTTATTTCTCTAAAATAGATTTGCCTCATCTTTCTGTGTCACATTTGGTGCTAGGGATTTTAGCAGACCGGTTTTTTAGCAGACCGGTTTTTAGCAGACTCAGAACAATTATAAAGTGTGATAGCTAACTTTATACGGGGCATTGGCGATTAGCGAGCACGTGCTCCGCTGTGCTTCAATTCAATACAAGTGTTATTCTGCGCGTAAATCTTTGTTTTGCCGCTAATTTAGACAGTTGTGTTTTTGAAGTTGATAGTTTTGTTGACAAATCGTGAGATATTTGACTTAATTGGGAAGCTTCGCTCCAGACTCAGCGTCTTTTTGAGTCTGTCAATCAATCATCCATCACTTTATTACGTTGGTCTGCTAAAAGACTCAATTTTCACTTTTTATGCTAAAAGATTGGTCTGCTAAACGATCGGTCCCCATCACATTTTACTCTAGCTTGCCAGTGCTATAAGGCTTGAGAGTTTTCTGCCGTATTTTCGGCTGTTTGCTTTGTGTAAGGATATCAGTAGTATATATGTGATGAGAGGTGGGGTGCCGGCTGACCCCCATGTATCTGTCGAAGCAATTTTTTTTCAATTATATTTTTAAAACCGTGCCCACTTGTTTCCGCCGCAGTCATTTCAGCCCCAAAATCCCACTAATTTCAGCCCCCAAGTTACTCTCTTTAATTCACTTTGATATACATTATCAGACATACGGGATGTTTTACTTCTGTTCCTGTTATTCGCTTTGATACAACACGAGTGCAACACGCGAGTCAACAGTATTGCGCACAGAATTAAAGTTGATTGGGTTTAAATAGGCTTAATTACGTGCATTGACATTCGAGTGGAACTGACTTCTTGTTTCGGGGGTGGAAAGGACTGGGAGCGTTTTAAAACTAATTGGACTGGGAAAAGAGCTTCTGGTGAAATTACTGAAGTCTTTGCCTCTACGGCGAAGTTTTTGTGATTTGATTCTTTAGAGATTCCAGCAAATTCATAGTTATAAATGTAAAGTTTTTGTTTTTCTAATATCAAATATTGCAAACATGTTTTTTATTTAATTTTTGAGTTCGTAAGTTTGAACAGTGCTAAACTGGAATTTAAATTACGGTGCTATTTATTATCTAGTGCACAGTTCAAAGTAGCTTTAAATTGCAGTCGCTTAGTGCTGAGCACGGTGGCGCTATGTCTATGCAAGAGTTTCTGGATCATTTTTGCACTTGTAGGCTAAATTAGCACTCATAGGCTAAAAGCATGCTCTATTTTTCATCGGGCATTGAGAGATTTATTGAGGTAATTAATACTGAAAGGCAATGTATTCGCTAACCGCATTAGCCAAAACAATGTAATGCTTATTTTAAGGTCAGTTTTGATGTCAACCGCAATTCATTTTCCACTAGTAT